TCTAAACTGCTACCTCAGCAGTCCGTCATAAAATAAATTGATACAAAGAGACCACCCGTGAGAGTTCGGGTGGGCTGAGGTGGAAAAGGAGGGAGCGTCTAAACTCGGCCGAACCGGTGTGTGTCTAGCCGTCTCGCGCCGAACAGGAGTCATCAACGTTGGTGGTCAAAAGACCTGTTGTTGGACTTTTCCCCTTCTCCGCACTATACTGTTCCCGCCCACTGTTGTTTTGACTGTAAATATTATAAAGGTGTTCAAGAAATTTGTACTTGTTGGCAGGTTTGGTGTTAGGCGGTTGACTGCTCCATTGCGTGAGGCTCTAGTCCAGCAGCACCTCTTCCGAGAGTGCTTTGTAGATGGAGACGATGACTCAACTTAATTTCAGTGGTTACTTCCAAACACCTTAATCATCCCTTCTGCTCACAAGATTAGTCATAATTTGTAGCATTTTAAGGAGTCTGAATAATTGCCATGACAATTGCAATTAACTTCCGGCTTCGTGCTGTGCACACCCCTTAACTGTGATGGGTAAGTGTTTGCGTTATCTGCTACTATTTGAGAATGTTATCGCTCTCTTTTCGGAACTGATCCTAATGGCAAGCATTTCCTCGTTCCTAAATGCTAATTGCTTAAAGTGGAAATTAAGCTATCAGGAGATAAGTCCAGCAGATGTCAATCAGTGTGCAGACTTATAATTCCTCCAAAGGTTCTAAGTGGTATTGCACGTGAGGACAAGCCGCTTTTGTGTCAATGCCATGCATCGGCGATACTTTGTGCTAGAAAAGCATTGGACTTGATTTTTATGCAATTCTGTCTCGGAGAAGCCACGTTCTCTCAATCTTCATCACTTGACTTGATCGCAACACTTGATACATTCATTCAACGAAGATCCAAATAAAAGAAAAACAAATAAAGTCAAGTGGCGATGCACACATGCATGTACACGTTGAAGACTGTGCCAAATCATAGCAACAGTGGCAAAAAATACCTGCCAAATGAGGGGTTATCGGCTGAAACGGACTGCAGAAAGAGTCTGTGGAAGACAGCTGCGGGTGGTCTCATGACTGATTTCCAGCATCGACTGCCTCACAGCTGAATTTGTCTCAAGCAGCAGCAACAACACTGCACAGAAGCCTTGAGTACTCATTTTGAGAAATGTGGTTTAACACACATCACTCCATTGTCAGCTGCCTGTCCAAAGCAGGGATTTGGTGAATAAAGTCCATGTAAACTCAACCGAATGGGTCACCCTGTTCAGTAAGAGTTGATTTTGCATCATCTCATTGGTCGAATCACCTGAGGCTTGAGACTTTGAAGCATTGTAAAGAGATGACAAGCAAAAAGGACGATATTATGGAATTTCTGTTGAGGCTTTATAACGACCTCAATTCTTTCGCAAATTTAAACATTCCATACCAGTGTAACAAAAGTATATCAGGAGTTTATTCTCTCCGTTTCCTTATAACCCTACGCATACTTTGCAACTTGATCAAATGAGCACCATTTGGTAATCGTAGTTGAACCACTGGAATTATTCTCCTTTTGTCACCTCACGGAATGCCAAAACTCCGGGAAAGTCATCAAGGTGATCTATTATAGTCCATTCAATGAAAGTTTTAACGAATATAGGGGCGGAAGGTATCTGCTGAATAGATCGGACTCACTTCTTTAAATGGAATGAGTGCGGCTAGCATACTGAGTGCCAAGGGAACAAGTTTACTTCCAAAATCAAAGAAAACATTTTACGCTCTTCTAAACTAAGGAATGATGCTTTGAGTTCTACCAGTGGTTCGCCAAATTGCTTAAAGGAATTCTTAAATAATCTGGTTGCGAAAAGGATTTCATTGATTGAAAGTATCGTTTATAAAAATATAACTTCAAACATGATTTCAACTTTACAGTGCTACCTTGTCAACTGTGGCAGGGTGTCTCAAAAGGATTGATACAAGTTGATCAATGCTGCACCTATCCACTGAATACCTTACAGATCGGACAGGTAACAAACGACGCATATAAATTTCATTTTGTTTTTCACTCTGGTTCATCGTTTGCTTTTCAAGACTGGATAACCACCCGCATTATACGTATGATGAACTGTTATTCGAAACAGCTGTACTTAATTACGGCTTCAGTAAAGACCCGAGGTGCTGCCTTAGTGGCAGCAGTAATCAAACTCAATTCCACCATGACAGTCAAGTGAGAGGACACCTGTTGCGGTTGGCTAAGTCTACAAATGTTCATTGCAAAGGAAATCGGCTAGGTCATTTTTCCAACGGATCGAGACTGACGTTAAAGAAAGGCTTACAACTAATTACGTACCGCGACTATTCATAAAACAGGCACCAAGTCAATCATATGTGCACAAATATTATCGCCATAGAGGACTAACTTTCAGCCTATGCTTGCTGCAAAAAAAACATACGACTTTTAGTCTAATCTCTTTACATATTCTCCTCTGATAAAGTCTGCCTTGCTGTAACAAAACATTGCTTTAGAACGCCCTGCATTAGCACATCTTAGTGTGATACTTGAGACGCAATGCTCCTTTCACAGCGTCGCCTCGTTTACCGATAGCAGACAAATTAAGTCACCAATTTTCAATCCAATCTGTTATATGAAACGACGAGCCTCAATAAATGTGAACGCAGTACATTGTGATGTCTCATAGTCGCTACCCGAAGCCCTTTCACTAAAGAAATGGTATTCGACTGAAGCAAAATACTTACAAATGAAAGTAATCAGACCTTGACCACTCTGGATAGTTTCCTACCAAAGATGTGGTCTCGATTCGACATCAGATCGTCAAATGCCTAATTAGATAGTCTGAAGTAATCTAAAAGCATGTCACTAGAAGTAGCTCGAGTAAAAAGCCTACTCACTTTGTCCATTTAAGACTTTAATGTATTCATGACGCCATCGATCCCAATGTCAATTTGGAAAATAACTCAGTTGGCAAGTGCTCAACATTATTCACCACTCGTAGACTACTGAAATCGGATGTGCACACAATAGTACACTATGTGCATTTCTCACGTTTCGGTGTCTTGGTACATTTACTGATCCAACCACCATCCCATCCCACATCCAAGACAACCCCACCCCTATAGTTGGGTAACTGAGTCCTCCCAATTGCAAATCCGCTACAAGCACTAGAAACTCAAAATGCAACGCTTATGGCAAAACCCTCATATTGGTAGCTGAAATACCTTTTGCTTAGCTACGTAAAGGGCAGTCTCGTCTTATTTGCTTATCTTAAGGCAATTACTTGGGCTCTGAGGGAAATGGCACTCAAAATGAGGTAAGATTTGCTACCAATAATGCCTCAATGAAAACAGATACTCATCCCGGTTGATCTAAAGTCGGTACAGCAAGAAATGAGAGCAGCTACCCACAGCAACAGATGAAGTCCATGCGACGTTACCCAGGCAGAACTAATTCACTAAGCACAACCGAGCTTTTGCATCCATTGCTTACGTTTTCCATGGCAAAATTTCAACTCCGCGGCCAGAGTCGCTTATAACCACCCAACAAGAAGGAAAAAAACGAAGTTTTCCTAGTTCATCGGAGAGGTACTGACAAAATAAAAGAACCACAACGACTAGGCATTCCCACATGATGCACACTTTCTAAGAGCTGTTTACCCAGGAGCAATAAAGGCACGAATCCATCAATCCCTTCTCCCAAGATCGATTTAATACCGTGTTTAGCCACCCATGAAGAAGGAGAGGCTGGATGCAAAGGGAAGCTATTTATGGCATTCGCTCCCAGTGCGGTCGGATGTGCGTTCGCGGGTGGTCCCACAAGGCAGGGGGAAGACAGCAAAGACCTTTATGCGGGAAGGTAATCACATGATCCCTCCCATACTTTAGAACTTTTAAAGTATTCTTCTCTCCTACCTCAATAACCATTCATAGAACCATTCAGCACTGCTCATGCCAGGCTGCAAAACCTTAATTCGATGGAGTTCACCCAGGTTCTGGCATGATACATTTCTTCCTATTTCCCAATCACTTTAGAGACCCACCTCAAAGAAGTATCTTAATGGAGGCATACAGATGGCTCAGCGGGACACCAACCTGACTCAACTGAGGCTGGCCAGATGTGGACGCAGACCAACCAAATAGATGGTCACACGTTCCCTAATGAATCTACTGCGGATGGAATGCTCGAGCAAAAATTAGTGGTAAGGTTCGGCGGGTATTGAAAGGAAACGTCCTGTTTCATCAAAGTGCAAATCACCTTGGTGTAAAACATTAACTCTGATGGAAGTGGAACAGTGTCCAGCACACTACAACACAGCGCCCCAAGCCGTTCCAACCCAGTTACTATAAGAAATTCCGAGTTCAAACTCAATGATAAGACCAATCTTATGAAAGCACGAGACCTCCTACCCCAAAGCACGGATTCTCATGCAATAATTAGCAACTGTCTCGCTTCCCATGGGAGCAAACCCTGGGGATAAACCGCAGATCATAGCCTTGCTCTAATGATATTGCGTGAGGAAACCTGTAGTGAACAGATTACCAGTGAGAATCAGATGACGTTACTTGTTCTCTGTGTGGCTAAACGTGAGTTACAGAACGTTGGCTTCATTGGGATGCCTATGAGCCCCTCTCCTCGCGTCTTGAGCACTTAAGACAACATCTCAAGGAGTAAAAAGGCAATCCAGAGACAAAGTCATATGAGAAAGGTGGCATTTAGAAGGCCTCCCTTCTGTACACACATATGCAATTGACACATCCGCTTGCGGAATATTATTGACCCAAACCACGTTAACAATAGCTGTCTATTTTCCCTTATCGCAGTAACAACACCCAAGCGTGAGCCATTTGGCCGTTGAGCAGTGTATAAAGTGATTTGCCTTGCCTTGCACAATTTACTCGGCTAGTAACTAGGGCGTACGGAGTCGTGAGGTGCAACAAAAATTAGTCTCAACATCCTAAACTTGAAGAAACAGAAAAAAGAATAGGTGTAGGGCCCTGACCGCAACGACTTCGGCACTACAAATTAAGACTAGCTAGGTAGTCTTCGTGACGCTTAGCCTGGGCGTCGTACATTTTCTGCAGCTTCTTCAACTGGCTCTTCGAAATCTCCTTCCCTGTCGCGTCATGGGTTGGCATACCCTACAATACACATAAACAGTTTCGTGAAAGGACCCGAACTTGTCAAACTTGATAGCACCTTCACATTTAAATTGGTGGAAAGGCAAGATTCGCTCAATAATTCATTGTCGTGTCCATAATCAATATGATGATGCTAATGAGGAGGCCAAACTACGTGGTCGCGAAGTTTACCATAGTTCAATGAAATGTCAGAGGACCGTATAACCATGACCAAACGGTGAAGTTGTGACATATTCTTGAATGCAAAAATAAACGAAACGCAGTTTGAAGCAGCAGACGGAAATGCAGTAGAAAAGACGAACATAGGTGACAAGGACCAGTGTCACCGACGTCATTAACAAGAGCTTCCACAACTATGCCAAATTTCCGTTTCACAATGTGTCGTTAAGTTATACAACGTACCTTCGATATAAACAATGAAATATAAAGATACATATTGAGGAGCTGGCAGAAATTTCAATGAAAATAATTTAGTCCTCAATCCCATATCGGGCGTTGTGTTTGGATAAATCAAAGCGATTTAAAGTTCTCCCAACTTACATCCAAGTAAAAACCAGTAGGCTTAAAGAGTTTCATTAGAGCGCCAATAAAGCAGTAATACACTGACTCATAGCACACAATCATGTCATAAATTTGTTGTGAAAATATTAAGAAACACAAAATTTGTAGCAATAAAAACTGCTTTGATTGCAGTGAATCCTGACTGCCCGACTAAGATGTCACAATAAACACGGTAGCGCAGTTAGGTGGAAAATGGAATTGCGACACAAAGTTAGATTAGATCAGTACAAACTAGTTTTTCTACACTTACAGCAGACATCTGTAAAAGGCATTTACTAACTTCAAAATCACAGGTACGCACACATGTATGTGCATACACCGATAGCGACACAGTAGCGAGACATTCTAACTGCGTAAGTGATAGCCAATTCGCTGGGAAAATAGGAGATTCAAATGCAAGCGGATGGTGTTTCCAATATGGTATTAGATTTTGTAAAAAGATTACACATTAATCTTGCAAATTAAAACCTGACCTTTTCATCAAAGGCTGAAAATTTGTCGATTTGACTGCGAAACATCTCTGATGGTGGGTGTTTACCTGCCTCCTTTTTGATCTGAACCCGCATAGCCTTCACAGCCGCCTTTTCCGCGGTTCTCTACAGGCAGAAATGTAACACAGTCGTCTACACTGAAACAGTATTAACAAATCATTTGTATTTTGATCACATTAATTAATCAGCTTACCGTGTTGTAAATCTCATCACCTAGCTCGGAGATTTAAGCACAAAACTTCCATGTCAAGCGAAAGTGCATGAGCTATTCGACATATATTTACCATACACAACCACGTGCTACGAAGTGTATTTAAATTTTTGGTTGCTTTTAACTACGAAACACCATTTTCTCAATTGTTAAGCCCGTTTGAAACGTGGAACACTAAATAGCCCTCCAACACCCATATAGGAAACCAGTAGTAGACGTACATGAAAGTGCTTTAAAAGTATAAGTTTCTGAAGCTCGTCAAAGCTTGAAGCACATCTTTTCAAACTTTCTTATAATAAACCACCAGCAAAAAGCCATTGTCAAATAAAGTGTCCTACTTACTCAACTACAAACGCTCACAAGTATGGTCGGGGATGACCTTAAGCAACCATTCCGCTCTCCATCTGTGAGTGTGATCCCACTGCAGAAGAAGGACCCAGCGTCTGTTATTCGCTAGATTCTGTCTGTAATTTTGGCCTGTGTACCAATTTTGTAGAAGTCATAACAACGTTAACTTTAACCAAACCTAAGTGATCCGTTTAAGTGAGTAAGCGCTCACCTTGAGTCGATAAAGTGCACGCTTACTAAAATAAATAAGTAGAAATTGAAAGAAATGGATAGGAGAGAAGAGACGTGCCTCAGATCTTTCTCGCCTTTCGGCTGTGAGGAGTTTCGCCTCAATAAGACCGATAGCAGGAAGATCCGGTTTATCAGCAACAAGATCGGATCGATCCTGCAAACGGATGCCGTAAACAGGAAGGTAGTCGTCACGAAGGCGGTCGCAAGTGGTTAGTAACTGCGCCTTCAGAGGGCCCCCTGACTGAGCGAAGAGGCGCACACCTTGGCGCAGATCTGCCATGGCATAAAGCAGACGTGCCAACACTGGCCAGGCCTCCGTCTCCAGTGCCTTCACGTCCTTCATCTGTATACGCTTCAACGCTGCGCATTCACCCAGAGCCTGCTTCAGCGCTGCGTCGAACACCACTGTGAAAAGGCGTGTTTAGTGCATAGGGGTTTCCGATCAAGCAGTTCACGTATTCAGCTTACACAAATGTACTTAAATTAATTACTCCTAGGCTAGGTAACTCCGCACTTTTCGGGCATGAATTCCAGTTACTCATTAGAAATCAATTAAATACAACATAAAGAACTGCAAAACGAACAAGGACCACAGACTAAAAATAAGAGGTAAAAGCACCGTCTTAAGGCAAATAAACTCATCAAGAATTAGCCCGTATTATAGGCAATAATTTCAAATAACGATGACGAGGCAGTGAAGCGTAAAAATACAACCAATGGACTCTGCTATGCTTTGCACTTGGCTATACTGAAACCTACTGAAAATGGCAAACATGATTGTTCAGCATCGGTCAAGCATGCTCGTTGGAAAGAAATTAAGTGGTATTTTAGAAACTCGGGGTGAACGACGATTAGATCATACAACAAAGTCTAATAGCGAAAAAATTTTGGAGTCTCAGAAATAAAACACAGTAGCGAAGGCAAAAATAGAGGATGCTCAGATTCAGGTTCGCTCAAACGAATGAAATGAATGAATGATATGATTACGGCCAATTTTAGGGAAGAAAGTAAAAATTCGTTCGACGTAGGTCGCAATTAACTGGCCACAAGATGGAACTAATCGGCGGATAAAAGGAATTGGCTTTATGGCAACCTGAGCAACATCTGCGATCGCCTTGAGATGAATGCAAGCATGAGGACAGTGAATCCTGCAATAGCAGATAACGTAGTCATTTCAACTACACCGGTGAGCAACATGACTTACAATAAGAAGAAGATCCCTGAATGTGACTCAAGAAGAACCGAAAAACAAATATATGAGAGCTCGAATGGAATCCCAAGTATTTCGGCGCACCAACAATCGAACATCAAATAGTTGCTCAAGAAACAGGATACGTCCAACTGGATGGAAAATCTCTTGAGGCACTGCCAGTCAAAATTGACTACAAGGTGGTTCATTCCAGAAAATATACGATAGTTCGAAGCAGTTCAGAAGAAACCCATTGCACACGAGACTCTGACCCGAAAAGCAGGTCGCAACAGAGGTATTTTTACTATAATAGAAGGGTAAATCATAGAGGATCAATCAGAATAATATAGCTGACTGAAATGCATGGTAGGATGGGACTTTAATACTTTTAATTCAATGCCAAAGTGTTGACTCATTCGGTTGTAAATAACGCTCTCAGCACTAGTGATGCGCAAAAGCATAAAATATCGTTTAATTTGTTCAAAATATGGTTCATAACTCCACCTTACACATAAAATTTTCAAAAGCCAAAGAGAGAAGCAAATGGGCAAATCTTGTTGCGACTTAGAAGTCTCTACCTCCGAAGTCGGCCGAACCATATCAACCACAACTAATATAGCCAGTTACTAATCACAATGGGGATAGTAGAGACATTTTGAAAAATCTTGTTGCTTCCCATCCGTTGTTTCATTCAAAATGAACAGCTCATTGTTAAATGTATGTCACACTCAACTGCAAGGCGAGAAGCCGATTTTGCAAGCGCGGATGATTGAAAGAAATTCATCCACAATAGACATAAACCAATTTCGAACACCGTAAATACAGAGCGGAGCAACCTAAAGAATATTCGATTTGTAAACTAACAAGTTACCGATTTTCTCATATTCGCTCTATTGGGGATAACCACTAGACAAAGAATCAAGCAGTGCGATATACCCTTATGAGACGAACTATACTTCGTCGTAGTGCAATAATGATAACGCAACTAAAATCGGGGCGTTAAAGTGACTGACTGACGTACTGGAAAATCATGTTGCGTTGCAGGAAGTCAAGAGACCGGTAGATCATTCAATTACGAGAGTGAAAAAGAGGACTGGAGGCTGCAAGTGTTCACAGATCTCCCTCCATTAGGAATATACAATTCAACGCAAAAATTGAAAAACGTTGGAAGCAGGGCTTGTATGCTGCTGCCCATGCACGAGACGATGATCAAGTTCACCGGAAAGGTGGTTATAGACCATAAGGTACTCAATTATGCAGCAAACACCCAAACAAGTGGATAGCAAATGCTTGTCGGAAGGAATATTAGCAAAAGAACACTAATACAGCAACTGTTAAAGATTGCGCAGAGAGCTAGCGCCATCAACAGCGTACATTAAACTCTCATAAGGTTAATAAAAGGCGAAGAGAATGTTTCGCTTTACACGATGTTTGCCCATAAACTAAACAATCGGGTCTATCTGGTACTATTTAAACATGTGTAATGAATATGAGCTTCGTATGTACAAACTAGTTATAATATACGCCGAATTCAACATAATCACTTTGGTATACGATTTATTAAAATGGAATCACGTTAAGAAATAAAAATTCCCCATACAAAAATTGAGAACCTTCTAGTGTATGCAAAAATGTGTTAGGCTTTAAGGGACATGGAATACCTCGTTCATCATCTAGCTTTGTATGCGAAAAATAAAACCCACCATTGGCATCATTCGACAAGCTATTCCAGTCCAGATTGAAATCCCTCTTCAAAGTAGCCTCGAAGTTCGAAAGAAGAGTAGCCACCTCCTGGGCTGAATGGGCAAACACAGACATCATTGCCTCAGTGCGAAACCAATGCGGGAAAACCACTTAAATGGCACAGTGAACACAAGCAAAGGCATCTGCCTTTGTAATTATGATGTTATTTTCATGATACTGAATTGAGAGGTACCTAAGATTAACAGACAACAGCATTAAAGCTTTTGCCAAAGACATGAAATACCATTTACCAATAATAAGCATTATGGAACATTTTAAAGCGCTTTATAGCTAAGAAGTGGTCAAAATGCGACAACCAAGTGCCTGAGTGGACACCAGCGACGCCTAAGGGGGAAGAAAACTTCTATCTCTGGCGTTTTGATTGCCTGTACACTTTTGCTACGGCTCTCAAATAAGCTTTTCTCCTCTGAGTAATCTCATCGTTCCAAGGATATAAAAGCAAAGGTGAGGCAGAAAAGCTGAAACCGTTGCAATATTGCCTTATGAATTAAGTACAATTTCGCTCAAAATCGAAAATAAACACTAAATAAGCGGTGGGCAATACAATACGAATCACCCAAACAATGACTACAGTAGTTTGTCATTTTGGAGTGAGGAAGAAACTAACCCTTTAAAGCCACTTCTTTCACCTCACGAACGAACTGCCTGCATGCGAGTGCAGCGCCATGGAAAGCTGCAGCCAGAGTCTCCTTCTTGGGTGCAGTCATGGAGACCCATAGGGGTTTGCTAACCGCCTCTACGACGCAGTCACGCGAAACTGCCCAGGGACTGAAGTTGATGGAGGAGGGAGAGGAGTAGAGAGGAGCGGTCCAAGCGTCGGCTAAGGTGGTGCGATCGGCAGCGCCAAAGATACAAAGTAGACGGAGAATGAAAGCGGCGAGAGCATAGCACTGATGCGCTCGAGGCAGCAGGTTCGTTGAGCCAGAGACCAGAGGTTGCGTGCAGTCCACCTGGTTAGAGGCATTTATCAACTCCCGAATCGCCAACATCGCACGTTTCGTGTCGATAGAGTCTGAAAAACAACTCTTGGTAGTGAATGGGTGCATACTTGGTTCTAGTCCCCGTTTAACTCATAATCACCCGAATGCTGGTAAGATTAAGGCAAACACTTCCATTCCACTGAGGTAAAATTAAAGTTCAAAAATGTTACATAGATTAAAAATATCCAAATTATTTGTATAATCTTTTTGTAATATATCACTGCAACAAATTGCGCCACTTAATCCCCAAAAAGTTACAAAAAAATCGGCTCCGAATAATCCAGAAAGAGAATTAGGCTCTAATATGCTCTGGCAAGAGTAGGTGGCGTTCGGAACATCACAGTAAAGCGACATGGATAGAGCAAAGTCGCGTATCAAATCTACACATCATGAAGATACAAAGCAACTTTACCACACAAAGCCTCAAAGACTTCCTTCTCAGCTGTGGATAGAGCATTGGAGAGATCCTGACTTTCGGCGATATCATCAGTGATTGCAGGTTTGCTCGAGGCAAGTAACCGCAAGGTGTGTGAGACGTTGAAAAGAAAGTCCTTTAAGAAGTAAGGTTTAGTAGCTGTTAGTGCAAGCCTGAGGGTGAATTAATAGGCAAACACCCACTCCGTTAATGAAAGGAATATAATGTTATTAAACTAATTTATTTGCCCACCCACGAATTCTGTGAACAAAGAGACCTTGAGCAACTGGCTATAAACTGCGAATGAGTAAATTGTACATCATTGAAGGGAAGTAATAGAAACAAATTACATTAGGAGCAATTACTACCCTTGTCGATGGTTAGCAGGATAGCCACAATCTGTTAATTTATATCGGTCGCAAAGAGGGGGATTTTGTGAATGCTAAACGATTTTCAAACGGACGAGTCTATGCCCTGCATACGAATAGTGCTTAGAATCGACGAGGGAGCAATCGACTCGATTTGTTGGAAGCGAATACTACGTTCGAAAATGAATATAAACTCAAAATCTGCATACAGTAAGTTTCAAATGGTTATCAATGCATACACAAGCCCGGTTCATGACAAGTTAAGCATTTGAGGTAAGATAAAATAGTGAATTTTCAATGGTGAAAAAAAAAACAAAAGTGGAGCACTCATAGTCAGTTGGATAAGTCGTCCCTTACCCAAATTTTGGGATGCATTTATTAAAAGATAGCCGGACTCAAGTGATGAGTTTCCAATATGAAATTAAACCCAAGACTCAAACAATACATAACCCCGCCTAAGTTACAATCCTTTCTTCGGCGAAAGACTAGAAGTCTTTATCTATCTTTTGGATCGCGACACAGCTTGTAAGACAGATAGAGTTGATAAGAGGAGATGTTACGTACCGTGATAGTCTTGTTGAAGGCGATGGCCTCGTTCATGGTGTCCGCACCGTAATCAAGGGTATCACGCCAGCTGTGGAGAAGGAAGGCCAAGCGCAGCTCAAGCGCAGAGTGTTGTTTGAGAGCTTCACGAATGGTGATGAAGTTCTTCAGCGACTTAGACATCTTGCACCCACTGATGGTTAGGTGGCCCGCATGCAGGAAGTAACTCACCCAGTGCGAGTGTCCAAAATACGCCTAAAAGTGGAAACACTGTGAACTCGAGAGAGAATATAACTATTAAAATAATTTTCAACCAGTACTTTCGAAAATTCTAATCAATACATGAACTTTTCACAACCTAGAAAATGGTGAGTCAACTTAAATTTCGCACGTTAAAGACAGATTAATATGAGAATAATTCTGCCAAGTCCGCGCATCACTTACTTCAGCCTGTGCAAGTTCGTTGTCATGATGGGGAAATTTCAGATCGACCCCGCCAGTGTGGATGTCTACAGACTCGCCGAGAGTAGCACTGGCCATGACGGAACATTCAATGTGCCAGCCCGGACGTCCCTTACCCCAGGGTGAGGGCCACGCAGGTTCACCAGGCTTAGAGGCCTTCCAAAGAGCGAAGTCACTGAAGTTCCGCTTCTCTGACTCAGTGGTTGAGAGATCTCCCTCTCCAGAGGCCAATTTCGCTGCATCTCCGTAGGCCGTCGGCACTAATTTTGCGTAGAAATGGCCCTCAGTTTCAGCAAATTTCTTTGTATTAAAATATACCGATCCTGAATCGACGACATATCTGTCAGGGAATGATGGCTTAATTATCAAAACCAAATAAACTATGATTGAAACTAATGATTGGAATAAATCTTACGCAAAACCATTGTCGATAATTTTTTTAATGTAGGCAATGATCGGTTCAATATACTCGCTGACACGGGTCAATTTATCAGCCTCAAGAACCTGCAAATACAAGGCAAAAGCCCAATGAGACTAGCAGCACTTGAGGTGTCAAAACCACCACTCATACTAACATTCAAAGCCCGCATATCATCATGAAATTCCTTCTCCATGCGCCGAGGAAGGGCTTCGAAGATTTCATAATCAGAAACTGATGAACCGTGCCTGACATCTAAGTATGCTGCCAATGCATCGTGGGCCCCAGTGAGCATCCCAGTAACCGATGTTCGACTCGTCAGCAGCGTTCGAAGACGATTAACTTCGTGTTTAAGATATTCCCGTTGGTCCGGTTCTGGATGCGTCTTTGACTTCGCTTCTAATAACTAAAAGTAGTAACGTGTAGACCTGCAAGATCGGGAAGTTTTACCTTGATTGCAGCACGAATGTCTTCTTTGACTTGAAAAGACGATAATGCCCTTTTAAAGTAACTCTCGATTAGGTAGTTCTGACGAGCCTTTTTGATTATCTGATCAATGGAGTAACCAAATAAGGTGTAGAAGCCCACCTTATCATCAATATCCGTAATGTTCATCACATACTTAACATTGAACCCGAAATAGTCGACAAGAACCCGACGAATAATATCAAATGAGATATAAGATCTGGCACCACTAAAACATCCACCGATTTCAATTACCTCGCATGGCCCATATGAGAAGAATCATACACAGTAGGACCACAGCAATACCATGTGACATCTTTGCCTCTTTTTGGAATAAAAGCAACCTATGCATTATTTGATGAAAGTATCAGAGGACATATACCTACTTTATTGTTGGAAAGGCTGTTAAATAGCTTGAGAGGAGGTAGATCTACTTTTACCTCAGGCACAGGTACTTTCCACTCGGGTGCAACACGTCTGTCCATTACTTCTAGTGGGCGTTCATTGAAGAAATTAGAGCACTTGTTGATAAAAAACGAGGTAATCCTAGACAGTTACAGTCAACCCCCACGACGAGACGTGTTGGCAGAAGTTTAAAGAGCATGCAATAGAGGCTAAAACGCCTATGAAAGTGCGGGTATTAAATAGCCAATGGTCGCCCCCATGCTGTATACCCTATTCTAGTGGTTTTCTTTGTAAACTTCTTATTTTTATGTTGGCCCTAAAAAGTATTCATTATCGTTTGCGATATTCTAAGGCAGACAAATTTATCTATTAATAAAAATTACCAAAATCAATTCAGAGTAAGACCTTCAAGGTAACATGAACAATTTTTATGAACGAAATTTCTTGTGGTTTCAATGAATATTGCAAGAGCCATTATCAAAGATTGCCCTTCAGTTCTATCCTAGCAACTATCAAGGCAGTATCGCGGTTTCACTGTGAGACAGATTGAATGTGTATTTCGCATTGTTCTTGTAAATAATGTGGTCAAAAATCCGAAGGCCACGATTTGAGTGAAATGGCTACTGAGAGGCAAAAGTAAATTGGAGTCGTTACTACATTCAAATAACTAACGTCCAAATTGGCCGCAACGAAGCATAATGATGATCTTTAGAATAAGGAAAATTGGTAGTGGAAGGTATAAATTATTTCGGAAACACAAGTCAGGTTACAAGGCGGTGGCTAGTGGTGTGTGCTTAGCTACGTGCTAGATATAAACCGATCTTGTAGGTAATATTAAGATGCAAATGCATTCCAAAGACTTGTCATGCTACAAAACTTAGAAAAGTAATTGGCGAGGGATGCGCATGATTGATTCGTATACAGATTTTAGTGTGGCGACACAAACCACTCCTCAGTTTCATAGCAGGGCAAAAAACTACCTTGACGGCGTAAACGATGGAAGGATGTGTCTATTCCACCGGTGGGCATGCGATTGCGGAGCACCAACTGCTTCTGCCCTCAAAACAAGGTGTTGGAATACCCATTAAATCGATGAATGTCCAACCACACTTGGTGCACTGTTTTTTTTCGGCTCAATCAACTTTTTCAGTCACAAAAAGCAATGAATGCTGAAAAAATACCGACCATCGAATCTATCGTGCTATTTTACAAATTTCTATGCAAGTGAGAAGATATCCAACGGCAACGTCACTGATCCTTCTTCTTACTTTCACGTGATGTGGGATATGCTCTATTTGAAAATTGCATCACATCTGTCACACCAGTAATCATGGCAACACAAGACCAAAACCCGTCAGCTATATAAGGTTTGGTTTTGAAAAAGTCTCTTAGTGTAAGCTTCGCTGGTCTATTCAGTCGCTACTTTTCTTGCTTCTGTGTCAGTCAGCCACATCTATTAATCTAAGTCAGATCTATTTATCAGATTTAGGGTAGATAATGCGTGCTTACTTCAAACTGACACCGCAGAACACAGGATCAAGGTAGTTGTTTGCGTTAGATGGCACTCGAGCCTTCCGTTAGGGTTTTAGCATGCAGTAATGAAAACTCAGGATCGATGTCCCTTAAGATTAGCTTAACTTTACCTTAATACCAGTGCAGGTAGGATGTTAATTCAGAAGGCGCATTGTTAATATGCATAAAGAGCTGGGGGCTACCAGCATGACCTAGAGGCCAAGTCGTCTAGTAGAAGCGCGAAAGATAAATGAAACAGCTATTTCAATTCGATCTTTCGACTTTATCCATTGTTGTTTCACGTTAGGCGGTTCTGTGCCTAACTTCTGTTCGAAAACCCTCTGTTGTGACCCAATACTTTATTTGGCGCACTTTACCTGCACGCAACCAGTTTCAGCATTTACTGGCTTCACAAAAGTTAAACAGTAAGCAAGTAACCTGACTTAATTATCTCCAAATTGTCACTGACAGAAGTGTGGGCAGGATAACTTGGACAGCTATACATCGAAAGTTCGTCAATTTCCATAATGTTAAGATATGGAGAGGGAGGTTCTGGATGGGAGATGATGCAGTGACACTGCAATCTTCACAGAACAGAATCGCCTCCACCAAGACGCCATAGTAAATTGATAAAACGTCAGAATGATGCAGCTTTATTTCCCTCTTTAGGTTTACTACCGTTACAGTAATCGAGCATGTTTTAGATTAAGGAAACCAAAACTACTGCTTTACTTATATTGACAATCTCCTAAGACGAAGTTACACGGGCATACTTTCTCCTTTGCTAAACTTCAATTCTCAATTCTGATCCAGTGGGGACACGCTGCGAGGTGACAGGAATGAGGGCGCGTACCGGAGCTATGGAATGGGCACCAAAATGGTTGCCCTTCGAGCCTCACCCCTGTAGCAAGACCTCTTTCTGAGATAACGGGAATCATTCTTGTCGAATGCACCAATGCAGAGTTTTGACTATCGCTGGATAAATTGTGCATTTCCACAGATTGAAATTTTCTCTGTTGCCTCTTAGGGCCTTACATTAATCCATTTTACATTGCTACATAAATCGGCCAGTCAATTGTCCTTTTATTCTTCTTCCTCATCAAACCTTTTACTTCGAGGCCATGCCTAGGATCCTCACCACCACAGATATCATAAAAGTATGTACAAGTGTGAAGAATCTTTCCTTTTATTAATCAACAGAGTTTCGTTTAATTGGTGTCATTTGTTGTGCACTAAGTTAAGCCATTTACAAACCAAAAGACCGCACTTTCATATGCTGAGGTTTGTCATGCAGGTTTCGAGGACGCTTTTATGGTTGATATTCACGTTTCATATCATCCCACCCTAATGTGAGCCAAGTAGGCTATTATCTAAACCATATTGCTCTTAGTGATTTAATATCAAATATTCTTTCCATTAGTGGACAGCCGTGGACGTGCCGCTACTTTGCACTTCACTACTTTGCCCTGCTCTGCATTTCCATGGTTTGTGCAATTGCATCAATCTGGCCCTGGCGTTCTTGCCCGCCTCCTCGCTGACGATGGCTGGTGCCCCCGGCACAGCGATTCCAAATGGCACCAATGGCTGAAATGCCACTATTTACCACTCGTTTATCATCACCACTTTAGCACCTACCAATCACTCAATCACCTCAATATGATTAATCGAAATTACTGTTGCGATGACCACTTTGGTAATGGAAAGGAATGCCTTTTATCAAATTGTTCTTTCAACTACCTTTTACCAGTCACGCACTACTACTTAAACACTATAAAAGGACTGGCATCGTGGAAAGGTTTCAAGACCAAAAACATGCCTAAACGCTTATTTGCCTGCCTGTATGGAGTTGGCATCACATCATTCATTATTGCCCTCACATTACCATTGCTTTGGAAACGCAAGATACATCGACATCTTACATCTTTTAAGCTGCTGTCGCATCACTGGTGTAACAAAATTATTTCCACTTTTGGTACTCTTTAGATTGCACTCTCCAATAGACTCCACTGAGATTTCTAAAAACGCCACCATAGCGCATCTTAAAGGGCCCACAAATGCTACCTACCAAGTTTCGTCACTCGGGAATTTCACATTCGGCTGGGAATGTCTTTGGTAGACTTCTTAGTATGTCCAAAGCTGACTGGCGTTTTGGGGTTGGCGGAGGTCTTTCACTTTCCAAGTGCGTAATTGATGTTAAGCCCTTCAGCTGGAAGCCACTTTCCGCATTTTAGTCAAAGTAGGAGCAAAGTGAATTTTCACGTGGAAAACCAAAGACTTGTCCAGTGCCATCATAATCTACGAGCGGCAGATCAAAATTGCATTAGAGCAGTAAGTACTCAACAGCCTCTTGAGATCGTCTCTCCCGACGTCTGGGGTTCACCAGTGCTCTTAATTTCTATGCAAGAACCAATAATAGTCCAGTATGATACAATAAGCGACAATAGACTGGGCATTCTTAACTTAAAATTTCCTATCTTCGTCTATATTTGCACTTTATGTAAGGCAGAGAAAAGCATTTTAAACTATTAATGTCCCTAACTTCTATCCTACTAAACAAACGATTTTTCCTGTCAATTAGTAAAATGTTTAAAATTGCCCTCCTTTCGAGTTGGAAGAGGACGAAAGATTTTGAGTGTTTGATTCTTAGACGTCTTAGTGACTAGACCGCGAAGTATGAATAACAGTGCTATATCGGTAGCTCCGAAAAGACTTTCCTTTAAATCTTCTGTAAAGTCGAAATGTCATGCTCGTAGGCATTGCAAACTAAGACAATAAAGCCTTTCTTTTAATAATTAATCAAAATTGAAGTAATTGTAGATTAGTCGGTACAATGAAATCGGGTGTAAGCAAATCGAAATGTAATTAATATTGAGTAGTGGATAGTGCATTTTTTTGGACTTAGGGGGGCGAAATCACCCTTTAAGAATGCTATATTTAGAAAGTCGGACACTATCTACGTTGCTGTGGTCTTTCGATGTTAAATGCTTCCTTCTACAAGGTGCTTCAACCATTTAGCTTACCTCACTCCATACTTGGAATCCCCGCATTATGCAATTCCACCTTTCTCCGCGTGCTTGGGGTATCTGTGTGTAAGGAGTGAGTTGCAGAAGGGATAGTGGTACTGGTGGCATCAAACACAACCAAGAGCTCAACCAAACTTGTGAATTGTGTCCCCATTGGAAGTCGTTGTAGCACTAGTAATCAACTAATGCGATTGCCTTTACTCCCGTGTATGATTTTGAACCCCTTAGCGAGGGATGATGGTTTGCAAATAACTGAGTGGAGCCTCCCACCAAAAGTGGTCAGCATAGGTTTCCTTGCAAGGGATATGCGTTTTATAAGAATTTAAGCCAAATCCGGTATAATGAACTTCAAAACATCTTTAGAATGATTTTACAAGAGTCTAAACCTTGATAATGTACCAAATGGAATAAGTGATTAGCACGAAGATGTAGGGCAAAAGAAGATCAGCCATGAGGACGAATAGTGAGCATATATTATGCCTTGAATTGAATGGAGAGAACTGAGATCGGTCGCATAGCTTTCTATGCATAGGAAATCAAAATTTTGGATAGAAGTGAAGCAAAGCTCTGAGACGAGAAGTATCATCATTAAAGCCATGAGGCAA